TGAAGATTTTGATAGTACTGTGTTTCCTCTTTTTTATTGCTTTTTAGATCGAAAAAAATTAAGAAATTTATGAATTTTTATTTATGAAAATTAATGAAATAATGGCATCAGAATAATATTATGTTTAATTCAAAAAGAGTCCAAATTGATTTTGAAATTGCAGCGTTTCTAGCGATCAAAAACATTTATCCTCAAGCCATCATTAGAAATTGTTATTTTTAATTTGGACAGGCCATACGGAGAAAATTTCTGAATTTGGTTTGATACGTTTATTTAATAGTGATGGTCGATTTAAAAAAATGCATTGAATGTAAAACTGTTTTGCCTCTTGTACCTGTATGTCGTCTATATGAAGATTATACAGCTATAATTACTGAATACAGATCATGTTTGCTTAGTGTAATTGAATTTTTTAAATATTTTTATTGTAACTTACTGAATAACGATAATGTGTTGTTTAAAAAAGAGATTTGATCATATAGTAATAATTTTTGACCTAGAACAAACAGCAGCTTAAAAGAATTCCATTCTAAAATAAACAGGCTTATTAATAAACCCAATCCTAATTGTTACGAAGTAATAAATGTATTAAAAAAGATTATGATCTCTAATTTAGTTGAATTATTATGATTAATAGGTGGAGGCCCAAAGATTGCAAAAAAAGAAAGTATTTATTAATTGACTGTATAATTAGAGACTTACTAAACAGATATAATCTACAGCCAATAACTTTGTCTGGGATCACAAACGGTTTAAGAAACTCAATAAAATTAAATTAAAAGTTTTTTACTTTTTTTTTAGTTTAAAGGTAAAACAATAATATTTTCCAACAAGTGGTACAGAACCAAATAATGTACATACAAATACAATAGAGGTGCATTGGTAATCTCTAAAAGCGTCAATTCCTAATAGATGTCGTACTCAGAAACTTTCAAAGTTTTGTTTGGCTTTTACATGATAAGAAGAAATGAAGGCAGGTTACCAGTTATAAATGTCAAAGGGTTTATTGTCTAGCTGGCTGTTCATCCAAAAATTAGGGGTTTATTTTAAAAGAAAATATAAACTGTAAATTCTACCATCGTCGAGAGACATCTTCTACGACACCCCCTCAACTATAGAATGGCGTGTCTTTTTTGACATGACATTTATTCACTCGTATAAATCTATTTCCCGCCCTTTCTCTTACTAAGTACGCATCCTCGCCTATATAATCTGTTACAGTGTAACCTGCCCACCATTTTGGCAACCACTTATCTTTGATTGTATCCCTAAAAATTAATACATTTGTTCCCTTTTCGATGTTTCTTTTTACTTCTTTTTTTCCTTTAGTTATTTTTTTTCGTACTTTTTAAAGTTTTCATCTCGGCGTTGTATTAGAACCTGTTTAGAATAATTTTTTGGCTTTACGCCCAGTTTTTTATCGATCTCGAATATTTTTTGGCTTCCATTCTTAAAAATATATGGCGACGTTCCTATCGCCCTATTGTATGACAGATTGTATGCGAGTGTCGCTCGTTCAACCCATGGCTTCCAGTTTTTTTCTCCATAATTCGTTTGTCTTTTTAGTATGTTAAATAAGCTTTGAATTCCCCTTTCCACAGCTCCTGTTGTTTGGTGATGATAAGGGGAAGCAAATTCCCATTTCAAGAAATACTTCTCCTGCAGGGCCAAGACTTCCTTATTGTTAAATTCCAGTCCCATATCTGAGAGAATTCTTTTTGGGATTCCGTGTTTTCTTATTATCAATTCTTCTATTGCTTTTATTATTTCTGCCGAAGTCTTTCGTTCTAACACCTTTGTCTCGATCCATTTAGAATAGTGATCGATTGCTACAAAAATAAACCCATTTTTTTCCTTATCTTGTAGACGCCCTATTAGATCAATTTGCCACAGATCATTTTCGTGTGAAGTATGGATGACTTTGGTTTTTGTATTTACCCTTCCATTTCCGGCTTGTAAGCAAGTTAAACATCTACTACAATGTTCGTCGATATCTTTGAACATCCCGCTCCATCTATGGGTCTGCCTTACCATAAACTTCATAGTGTTTGGAGACCCATGCCCGGAAATCTTATGATATTCTTCTAATATTTCGGCTATTTCTTCGTGGCTTAAGGTGTTATTAGATAGGCTCCTTACTTCTAATGTTGGATTAATCCTTGATAGACCGTCCGCTGCGTTATCCTCTCCCTTAACATATTCAATTCTAAAGGTATATTCCGATAATTCTAATGACCATCGGATTAGTCTCGATTTTATATGTTTAGCCGTCCATAAGAATGTTAATGCTTTATGGTCTGTCCTCAGAATGAAGTTTTTTCCGAGTAAATAATGTCTGAAATGATTTACGCCTTTCACTATTCCTAATAATTCTTTCTCAGTTACCGTATAGTTTTTTTCCGCCGGTTGTAAAGTCCGACTAAAAGTAGATATCATTTTCTCGTTTCCGTGGGAGTCTTTTTGTGACAAAATAACCGCGATTCCTATTTCCGACGCGTCTGTTGTCACAATAAACTCCCTATCAAATTGGGACTGTGCTCTTATTGTTGATTCTGATACCGTCTTTTTGATTTTGTTGAATGTTTCTTTTTGTTTCTCATTCGGTACGAGGCTTTTTGTTGAAGACTTTCTTTCTCCTTTTAACAATTCGTAGAGGGGCGCTGTAAGGCCTGCTATGTCCTTGATAAATTCTCTGCCATAATTAATTGTGCCTAGGAACGATCTTAACTCCTTCATGATTTTTGGCTCCGGATATTTCAATAATTTTTCTATTCTCTCTGGATCAGCTTTAATCATGCCTTTCGATATTATGTTTCCTAGAATTTTAAACTGTTCCCTAAAGAATTTAGATTTTTTTTCATTAAGTGATAGTCCTGCTGCTTTTAATTTTCCGAGAACTATACGTAGATGTTTTTCATGCTCTCTTCTTGACTTTGAATAAACTATAATATCATCCAGATAAGGAATCACAAACATTCTATTTTCTTTGCTAAAAATTTCATCCATTGTCCTTTGGAATGTTGCAGGGGCATTACACAGTCCGAAAGGCATTCTATTAAATTCGTAGAGACGTCCTTTAAATGAGAAAGCCGTTTTTTCCTTATCTTTTTCCTCCATTGCTATCTGGTAATAGCCCGAAGTTGCATCCAATACCGAAAATATTCCTGCGTCTGTTAAGGCATCGTAAATTTCATCAATTCTCGGGGAAACATAGCTGTCTTTGATCGTAACTGCATTTAGTGCACGATAATCTATACACATTCTCCATGACCCGTCCGACTTTGTTACCATTACTATTCTGCTGCACCAAGGGCTGTGACTTTCTATGATAATGTTTAATCTCAAATTCTTTTCAATTTCAGCCTCTATAGCAGCTTCTTGGCTAATTGGAATACGCCCGTTTCTTTGACAAATAGGCCTCGCCTCATCCGTTTCTATACTATGTGTACCACTATTACAAACATTTAATTCTCCAATTTCTGTTTTAAAGATGTCCCTAAATTCGTGTTTTAAGTCGCCCTCGTCTATAGTCCTGACTGATATTTCTTTATGATGTTTCCACTGTAACTCCAAAATTTTGATCAATGGTCCCGGGGCTTTATATATGACATCTGCCCCCAATATTATATATTCGCTTTCTTCCACGACTAAAGGGGAAAAGGTTATTATTTCTTTTCCCATGCTTATCTTTATGTTATTGCTTTTTCCGATTATTTTTAATATGTCTCCGCTCACCGACTTGACTACTCCGTCGTAGGGTTTTAATATGCCTGACCGTCCTTGCAGGTCTTTCCTGTCTATTAATGATACATCGGCTCCTGTATCTAAAAGGATGGTTCTTGGTCTCTCGCCCAATTCACCCTTTACAAAAAATGGGTTTTTTGTCGCCTCAAGCCTGTTAAAGTAATAGATTAAATCTTTATTTACTAAGTTGTTGTTCTCCTCACCTTTGTTTTCTCCTTCCCTTTCTTCCATAGTTCTTATTCCCAACCTTACTTTTTCACGTTTGACCATTCCTGTAACCGCATCACATTGACTAGTTTTGTGTGCCCCATATCCATGTAGTTGACAATAAAACATTCGTTTTTCTGTTCTGCTAATCCCTATATTATTTCTTCTGTTCTCATCATATCCTTTCGTCTGGTAAAAAGGTCTAGGTTTAAAACCCTTGGGTTGGTTTCCTCTTAGTGAGGGAGGTTCTCTTATATTACTCTTGCTCACCTTTTCTATTCTTGTTAACATATTATCTCTGTAGGCGATTGGTGCTAGTTCCTCGGCCGTTTGAACAAATTGCTCCCATGTTGTAACTGTCTTTGATGTTTGAAAGAGTAATGCTCTAATTTCCGATGGGGCTTTATGTGAAACCATCTCCGCTAATGCATTGGGGGTTACAATATTTCTTTCGCAAATTCTTGTTGCTTGTCTTAGCATAAAGGAAAAATCTTCTCTTGTTGCTGCGATTCCTAAATTACAAAAGCTCGTTATGGATATTTCTCCGGTTGTAGACGATGCAAATCTTCTTTTCAACTAATCAAACAAAGCATCTAAAGTAAGTCCTGACATTTTTCCTTTTAAGATCTGAGCTGCCCATGATCGTGCTTTCCCTTGTAGGCATAAAATGGTCACTCTAAAAATATTATCTTCTGTCCATTCGTTCACTTCAGCAACAAGTAAAAGGTCTCTTATCCAAGTACAAATGTCTTCATCCTCTTCCCCTGTGAATACTGTCACGATTTTAGTCGCTGTCGCCATGTCAAAGGGTTTATTGTCTAGCTGGCTGTTCATCCAAAAATTAGGGGTTTATTTTAAAAAAAAATATAAACTGTAAATTCTACCATCGTCGAGAGACATCTTCTACGACAATAAATATATTTAAATATTGTTTTTGGGTATTTTTTTTATTATTTTACATTCAAATTGACATATTTAGTAATTAAATTTTTTTTTGTTTAGCATTTTTAAAAGGGTTATTTTTTCAATTTTAAATAAAACCATTTTTCAACCAAAGATGTCATTTTAGCAAAAAAAAGTTATAGAAAGGGTATAGGCTGCTGCCAGAGAGCATAAGTTGCCCAGGATAGAAATTCTTGACATGGTTTCTGCTAGTTTAAAAGAAGAAATGGGAGGTGTTAAAAGATTTATATTAGAAAATAATAATTTCAATGAAGAAAGTATCGTTATGTGGTATCCATCACATTTTTAAAAAAGTTCCCTTAAATAATTTTGGCTAATGGAAACAATAATTCCCCGTATTTGAGGGTGTTTAATTTAAAATTTTTAGCCTTTAAAATGGGTGTCAATTTAATGAGAAAAAAATAAAGATTTATAAAATTGTCAAGAATTTACTTTTAAAATCAGTCAATGAACATTTCTGTAGATTTTGTCTAGGAAAAGTAAGACAAAGAGGAGAGATAAATGTTTTGAGATGTACAAAGACTGGCTGTCGAAAAGAATTTGTTTTTCTTAATAAAAAAAGAAAAGCCTTTTTTAATTTAAAGATCGATTGGAAAACAACTTAAAATATTTTACTTTTATATTTGAACAATTCTAAAATTAAATTAATTTAACTTTTGACTGATGTTAGTAGACAGACGATACGGAAAATTTTGAAATTAACAGGTAAATTGTTACCTCAAAATGTTTCTATAGGCGGACCGGGTATCATCGCCGAGATAGATGTGTCCAAATTTGGTAAACGAAAGTATCATAGAGGACAATGAGTTGATGGTGTATGAGTGTTAGAAATGGTCGATAGAACACCTGCTCGGCGGCTTGTATTAATTAAATTGCCTGGTAGAAGGGGGACACATTATTGTTTTACATCAAAAAGTTTGTCAAAGAGGGTGGTATTGTATATACAGACTGCTGGAAAAAACATAGCGGTCTTTCAAGAAACGGATACGTGCATCGTACAGTAAATCATTCACTAAATTTTGTAAATCCAATAAGTCGTACGCATGCTCAATATGTTGAATCATATTGTGTCATGCAGAAACTTAAAATCAAAAAAAATGAAAGGTCGTAGACGTGAACAATTATCTTTATTGTTGACTGAATTTGTATGAAAAGATTTTTATCGTAGTACTAAGTTAGCTAGATTAATAGGTTCGTTAAGTTTTTAAAAAAATTATTATTTCTTTAATTATTTATACCTTTGTTGTTTTTAGAATATGGTAATCTTCAACGAAAATTTTTAATTTAAATTTACATAAATACTCTTTATAATCTTTTAAATCTCTGTGCACATATTCTCTAATTAATATAAAAGCACTTTTTTTAGCTGCCTTGACTGTTTTGGTGTTTAGAGGCAGAAAATGTGCATGGTATATTTTAACTTTATTGTTTAGATGGAATTTAATCAAAGATGAACAGACTTGTTGGTTTTGCAATTTAAATATGCGCCTTATGCAAAATTCTAAAATTTCTGATAATTTCGAGTGAAAGTACTACTTTTATGGCTATCAGCACCATCAGACAACCTCTTCTCTGCGGCCTAATTCTTGGAACCACTATTTTAAAACTGATATTAAAACAATACTTAAAGCAATCTATTACTATGCGTATAGTGATAATTATTCTAAAATCATCGAACATTCGGGCATTTAGAAAATACCTCTAATCAAGCTGCAAAACGTTGTAAACAAACAAACTGCAGATTATGAGTATTATACACCACATTGTGGCGTATAATACCCATATATATTTTTTTACTAATTTTGTCCCCCCCAAAAAAAATGACAAATCAAACTTCAAGAACAGAACAGATCTTGAGCATCAAATACATGTACGTTATAGGCAGTTATAAAGATATTTAGAGCGGGAAGACTTATTGCAGTAACTATGAGTTGTATGTTCTGTTCTAAGCCAACGTTAGAAAGAAATAGAACAGGTGTGATCGATGGCAAAGCATGGGCCTGTTATAATACCAAATGTTCAAAGGTTTGGACTACTATCAGTATTAGAGCAGGGTCGATTTTTGCAAACTTTAGATTAAGTCTGGCAGATGTTTAGATCGTAATTATAATGTGGTTAGAAGATAAAGGTGTTGAAAGAACCGAGAATTGATATGGCATCGGCAGAAAAACGGTTGGAAAAATATGGTCAATGTTAAGAAGTATAGTTTCTTGTCATTTACAACAAGATCCAATTCGCCTGGGATGACCTGGCATAATATTTTGATTGATGGGTCTTTGTTTAGCCATAAACAGAAGTACCATCGTGGGCATATTTCTAATCAACAATTTTGGAGTTTTGGCACCGTGGATGTTGTTTTTAAGCCTGCGAGGGGTATATGCAAGTTGTGGAAAATAGATCGGCCGAAACGCTGCTGCCTGTTATTAATCGAGATCGCAAACAAGGTAGTATAATTTATAGTGATGAACGGGCCGCGTATAGACGGATAACCGAAATAATAGGATTTGGTCATGCAACGGCTAATCATTCTTTAAATTTTGTAGATTCTGAAATGGGTGTCCATACACAAAACATTGAATTGTACTAGTCAAAACAAAAATATAAAATAAAAAAATAAAGGGAGTTAATAAAAATTTGTTGCAAGTATATTTAGACGAAATGGTTTAGAAAGGTTTTTATCGTAATCGCGCATTTAATGTTCTAGTAGGACTTTTAAGAATTCCATATAAATGATTTATTTTAATATATTTTTTTCATGTGGCGTATAATACCCATGATCCCAAATTGCTATATTTTTCATTGATAATCCCATTAAACTGGGAAATTCTAATGTTTTCGTGCTAATAGATGAAACCAAGTGGAATTATAATGTTAAGGGTCACAAAGATAAATTTTCACAGGCCTGTTGGTGTTTCCGCATTGTAGATACATCATTCAACCCCACATTCGAAACGCTACTGTCGTAGTTCTAGGTCTGCATGCGTTATTGTTCCTATAATAAAACCTATTGCTAAAGCCGGAAGTATTATACACTTTGATGAATGGAAAGCCTATAGAAGCCTATCTTTCTCAGATGATTATGACTATTACACTGTTTGTCATAAATACAATTTTATAGATCTTACTACTAGCGTACATACCCAGCGCGTAGAATCTTATAATAACAGGCTAAAGGTTTAAATTAAGTCAAGAAAGTGAATGACTTTAGCTCAAAGAAAAGTTTTCTATTAGAATTCATGTTTAGAAAGCAGCATACTACTGAAAAAATTTTTCCTTTATTAAATTATTAAAATGTTTTTTTTTCACCGGGGGCTGAGTGAACCTGGGAGTTTTAAGTTTTAACACGAGTTGCACCAAAAAGTATGACCTACAAATTTTTCGTTTTTTACCCTTAAAAATGAAATTTTATTTGTTTAGAAAGAAAGAACTCAAAAGTTTGATTTTAGATAAATTTTATATAATTAATGGAAATGTCTGTATTTACTGTAAATAAGCAGTTAAATGTGTTAGAAGAAACAAATATGAGTCTATAAGGTGTAATAATAAATTTTACAAACTTTATAGAAAACAAATTGGTTTATGGATGCATTCAATTTTTTCGAATACTAAAATAAAAAAATATAAAGTTTTGAGAATAATAGAACTGTGGCTTATTAAAGCAGCTAGTGGTGTGATAGCATATATTTTAAGGATAAATAAAAACACAATTTATCGAATTTTAAAAAAAACTGTCAAAAATATTAGTTGATAAATTTTACAATTATAAAAATTATATTGGAAGTTCTGATGAAATTATAGAAATAGATGAATCAAAAATATAAAAAAGGAAATACAATAAAGAACATCCAGTTGGCGGCGTATGAATATTTGGTTCAGTTAAAAGAGGAGAAAACAAAAAAGTTTAATTATTTCAAGTAGATGATGGGACCAAGTCTACACTTCAATTAAAAATCAAAAATTTGGTAAAAAAAAGGTACAATAATTTACAGCGATTGTTAGAAAGGCTATAATAGCTTAAATGAATGTGGATATGTGCACAAAACTGCTAATCACAGTAAATGGTTT